TTTCTGAGGTTATATGATAAGGGACATGAAAATTACAACTAACAATGCTGACATGGTTAATCACTGTGACGACATCAATTATTAGACACATGAGGCATAGGGGTAAGTAGTACATTGGCAATAGGAATCATTAAGAAGGAATATTCAAGTACATAACCCAGTCGTCTCCTAGAGTGTAGGGAAAATCAATTTATCAAAAATGAGAATACTCTGGAACCTTGAATACGATATGGGATTCAAAATTCATGAAGTTGAATTACACTCCTGACGTTAGCTGACACAAGGAATCTATGCCATAAGCCCATGAGGATGAAAAATGAAGTTAAACACTTATGAGATTATCATAATTCAAACATCTTAACCCTCCCTGACAATTGACCCTATATGAGAGAACTAAAGATACGACAACTTGTCTTCCAAATCAATATGCTCATGATACGTGCAAAAATCTGAAGGCATCTAATCTCAACCTTTCACGAGTAAAACCACATAGCTAGGACATCTAAATGTTGGGACGAAATCATGTATTGCTTAGAGGCATTCTAATGGTTAACATAATGCTCCGGGGAGAAAGACAAATGACACTCTATCCACCCAAGGAGGTGGAATACCAAGGGTAGAAAAACTCTCCTCACATGACAATGATACGGTCAATTATTCTATAAGTCGAGTGAGCGGAAGGCCACGTAACCCATCCAATCCGACCCATTTAAGACTTTTTGAAAAGGGGACGCACTTTGGTTTGAAATCACGGCAATATAAGCTTGAACTTAGGGGAAATCATTACTTTTGGAACGCATGAGACAAGCCTACGTAACCCTAGAAAATCATTAACAATGGCGAGAAAGTACTTAAAACCATTACGAGTTGGTATAAAACAAGGCCTCAAAGTGCCCACATGGATAAGTTTGAAAGAATGAGACGTCTTAATGCATTTATCGGGGAAAAGTGACCTAGGTTATCTAGTCACATGGACAAGTAGAGCAGGTAGATGATTGTTTAGGAGAACATCTCATAAGGAGTGCGAGCAATATCTTTTTATCCTAACAAAAGGAACATACCCCGACCCTTGATGCCATAAGGCATAAAATTAGATTCACGAGGAGAGTTACCAGATGAAAATAGATAGTAAGGCAGCACAACTAAGAGTACCGCTTGGAATCGACAAGCTTAAACAGAGTCGAAGACATTAGAAGTCTGTAGAAAAGGGGAAATTTTCCCACTCTCAGGGCGCTTGTAGAGTACATAAAAGTGTGGTTAATTAAATCAGATCATATGGTTGGATAACTAGTCGAGACGTTGAGATAATATTACATTGATGATTACGGGTAAACGACACATGATGCAAGACAAATGAAAAGAAAGTGAGAGAGCCTTATGGAAGTAACCTTTACATTGTAACCACTAGGAATGGTGGTAATATAAAGCGATTACGAGAAACTACATTTTTTAAAGAAGATCTCTGTATGTAGTCACGTGATGTATAGCTCCAGAATTCAAAATACAATTATGTTTAGCAACTCAACTTCATAATGAAGCACTACAACACACTTCTACACATCCAGCTANACCTGAGCCGGGAACCCTCTCGGCAACACCATACGGGGGCAGGCTTCTCTAGATCCCCAGTCCACCCGACCTATGTTGCGTTCCTTGGAGGAAGAGATCGTAGATCTTCGCACCTCGGTGGATGGCCTACACACGCGTATGGATGCCATGTCTCAGCGGCATGCCAGGTCTGAGAGCCGGTTTATGGCGTGGTTCCGTGCTTTGGGGAGAGCTTGTCATGTCGACCCCAGCACCGTCTCAGACTCCGATTGATGCTCAGGGAAGTCTTCTTACCCTTCTGTTCTTTATTTTTGATATGACATGGGGACATGCCATAATTTGAAGTGTGGGGTGGGAGACTTGCTCTGGTAGTGTATTGTAGTGTATATAGACATTGAGTATGTTGTAATATTAGATTGATGTTGTTGTGTATAATTGACTGTACTCACATGAGAAGTAACCGACTTGGCCCAACGACGGACACTTGTCGACGGGTCTCTTGAGGGTCAAAGTTAGATAAAAAAAAACAATTGTAGAGGACTCTTCCTGAGGACGGACCACTTGGACAGTACTCTTGAGGGAAGTCAGTCCAGGATAGATTTTTTCTTTATTTTATTTATTTTTTTAGGTAGTGTAGTAATTCTCCCTTGGTTTTTCTTTTGACCACGGTTCTTTTCCAAGGGCTTTTTCTTGAACCGGGTTAGGTAGATTTTTCTTTTGTAGTTTTAGGACCAAGATGGGTGAAGGCTAGAATGCAACCCTAGATGTACACACCTGAGAATAACAAAAACGAACTGAGGGTGCGACGTCTAGGCTCGTTTGTAGACTCATACTTTGATGCATTAATTTTGCACATCTTGTCTTGCTTGAACGCTCGTATGAGTGTGTTGATAAACTGATTCGGAATGAGTTACATGCCAAGTGTGTGTGAGCTATTGCTTGCATTCTGTGCCTGCATGCGATACCTAGAACTTGCCCTGTGTGTTTGCAAAGCGAAATAGAAGTTGTTTGGTTTTAGAGATGATTGAGGCATTTCTTTGTATAGCCTGTATAATTGTGAATCCACCTGTATATATTGCCATAGTTAACCCCTTTTGAGCCTGAAGCCTATTCTTTGATAACCCTATAATGACCTATATCCCTGTGTTTGAATAAATTGATTGTTTGAACCTGTACCTCCTAGAAGCACTTGAATTATTAAAGAACATACAAAAGTCAAAGTGTAGGGTAGTAGGGGAGTGGAAAAAGGGGAATCAGGAAAGAAATACTTGAATGGTGCAATGGCTGTTAAAAAAAAGGAGAAAAGAAAAGAAAAGAGAAAAAGGTCAGTGCACCTAAAGAAAAGTGGGGGGCAACTATGAAACAAATTGTGGAAGAACGATTGGGCTGAACATGGAAATTGAAACAAAAGGAAGTTTGTATTAAAAGTGCTTAGGGAGGTTAGTCACTATATCCAAATATATCCTACCAGTCCCTTAGACTACATTACAACCAAATAAAGACCTTTTGATCTTTGACTGAACAACTCGATTAATAGAGTATTACACTAGGGGCAAGCCTATGGTGTATCTGTGTGGCATGTGAATGTTCTTTGCTGAGAGTGAGTGACTTCTGTCTATCTATGGTTCCTTGTTGCTTAATTTATTGTGTGTGGAACTTCTCTCAGATTTGTGATGTGAGGGCATGTGATTCAGGAAGAAAAAGTGAGTTTTCACCTCTGTTAGAGTAAATAGAGTAAGCACGAGTGTGTCATGTCGTTAGAGTCTGCATCTGAGTGTGACTGTTGCACTGCTTAAGTTATTCGTTCATAATGGCGGGTATAGCATAAACTTGGGGCAATGCATCCAACGGTTAGGCCTAGAAGTGTGGTTTAACTTGCTCGAGGACGAGCAAAGGTTTAAGTGTGGGGTGTTTATAATAGGTGAATTTAACTATAATTAGGCCCTAAAGAACCACCTTCTTGCATAGTTTTGATGATAAAAGTGATAACAAAATGCTCTGATTAGTGCTTTTCATGCTTTGCAGATGATATATGACAAGAGAAGGCTATGGAGTACTTTTGGGATCAAATATGGAGAAAAAGAGGCCAATCGTAAAATTTTGCCAAGTGAACCAAGCGAAGCAGCTTAAGCCAGGCCTGAAGAAGGACTGCCGCGGTTCCACCGCGACCGCGGCAGAACCGCGGTAGAAGACTGTCGCGGATAAGTTGAGATTCAGAGAAGGTGTGTGGCCGCGGTTTGACCGCGACTGCGGCAGAACCGCGGCAGAGGCAGAAAAGTTCAGGGACTTAAGCGCAAAACACGGGATTTTTAGCCCAAAACCCTATTTTAAATACTAGACTTCGCCCAAAGGAGGCAGGGATTGTATTGGAGAATATTTTAGCAAGGAAAACAATTGTGAGAGATCACCAAAAACATCATATCTTCTTCTTCTTTAATTTTTCTTGCAAGTATGATTAGGAATATTGTTCTAGTTTATTTACCCATAGTCATGAGTAGCTAAATCTTTTGTCTAGGGTTTTGANATAGTATAAAATAACCATGGAAGGTTTGCAGATGTTCACAATGAGTTCTCCATGGATTTTGACTTGAGAAATACCCAGATGCTAATGAAAGACAGAAAATAGGAGAAACATGCGTTGTACTATGATAACCCCCAAAGGCGCGCTTGCTCTTGACAGAGAGCCTAGTAAGGGTCCTTACGAGAAAGAAAGTGTTACAATGACACATAGAAGGATATGTTCTCTCACGGTTATTGAACAAGTGTGGGGAAACTTGTACTGTGATTACTCGGGAGAGATTTACGGTAAGATGAGCGTTCATGATTGATAGAGATGTGTTGGTAAATTTGTATGAGCATAAACAGAAGGGATTCCTTCAATAGGGAAAATCATTGCCTTAGCTTCTTCTCATCATTGGTTACAACCTTAGCATTTTAGTTTACAGCTGTTTAATTTACTTGCAATTTTAGTTAGTAAAGCGACCTTCAACTGTAATTCAAACATCTGGGAAACTGGTTCTGAAGAGTTTAGTGGGTCTAAAGATAGTGATTGATAGGTTAATTCTCTGTGGATTCGACTCTGGGCATAATACTCAGGTTATATTTGCAACGTCCGCATTGTCCTTTTTATAAGGCATAGTTGGACGTGATCAATAATACATCAATCTTAGCTTGCCCGAGACAAGATTATGAATATAATAATAGCAAAAATAACTAGCTGCAACGAAATGCATCAACTTTCCTACAATGGAGAAGGAAGAGAGGATAAAAAGAGCACAATCTATGTCTACCAGTCAAATTACGAAGGAGCTGATTTAACAAAAGCAGTCAGTCATTAGAATGTCACAAGAACTACAAGTAAACATAAAAGATAAAAAATAAAAAACGTTGGACCTAAATAAACCCCAACATCGAAACCATACATGCATAAGAGCAAATTTTTCAGTCACTACCTTGTAGTGGTCGGGCGCAAGAGTGTCCCCTGCTTCTTGATCTTCCCAACACGTATTGAAACGAGTGGAATGCACAAGCACCTCGCAAGCATTCCAACTTCTGATGGTTCAAAATTCTGTCAAAGAACAATTACGATCACATACTCTTTTTATTGCAAATATAATATCGCATTCGCATCAAACAATGTCACAATCAAAATTAACACAATGACCTAAAATGAGCTCCACACAGATTTAATTGAACTTCTTAAGTAAGAAAAAAGCTGAAGAAATACATACGCTCTCTGTACCAATTTAGGTGGCACACTTTCCTATTTAGTCTATCCAAAAAAAATGACACTTTTCTTTTATTTAGAAATAATTTAACTTTAAGATTCCCATTTATTGTTCTTTTACCTTGACGAGATAATTGTATAAGCAAATGGAACATCAACGTGGATTCAATATGTGTTTTTTGTGGAAATCATCTAGAGACTCATGCTCATCTATTCTGGGAATGTACTACCACCACTGGATTATGGGAAGGAATTTTCAACTGGCTACATATCCAGGTGCAAAAAAAAACGTGGGATCAGCTAATAACCTGGTTTGTGGAGAAAGCAAAGAAGAAATCTGTTAAAGGGCAGCTCTTGCGAATGGTTCTAGCTGAAACTTTGTATAGTATATGGAATGAAAGAAACCATAGAGTTTTTGAAAAGGTACATAGAGATACTAAGAGCATCATTAGAGAGATAGCATACACATGTAATGTACGGGCTGTAGGCAAGCTTAGAGAAGTCCTGCAGCAAAGATTTTTATAGGATATAAGCGATAAGTGTGTAGAAACTGGGTAAATCAGTCTGTTAAGGATAGGAGTACAGGGTAGAGTTGTGTATGGGCCGAGCTGGCCACTATACGATGTAATTTGATTCTTTGGTTATTAATAATATTGTGAATTACCAAAAAAAGAGATGATTGTATAACCACACCAATGATTATAACTTGTTTTAAACTACAAATTTCAGAAGTGTCTTTTTTTAAGTCCCTGCCCAGTCAAACAAAGGCCGGATAATACGGGAAAAGAGAGTACCCCCTCAGTCCCAAATTAGTTGTTATGTTTCATTTCTCAAAACTCAAACTCACTGAATTTTTTTTAAAATTTCTTCTCAACATTTAACATGAAAAAAATTGCTACTTAGTAGTAGTACTTTTTGTATAGTAGTAGTTTTTAAATATCCAAATTTTGGTTTAAGATATTGAGTTAATCTTAGGGGAAGCTGCATATTTGGCCACTCCGCCAAAAAATTTACGGCCGTTAGCTAATATACATATATAATACAGCTAATTTTTTTGGACGAATGGCTATTCAGTTAATTCTCTTAATCATCTACAATCCAATTTAGCTTCAAAGATTAGTCAAATTGACTCTTGGAAAACGAAACATGAATAATTTGGGATAGAGAGAGTATTAATTTGGGAGAATTTGAGACGTACTTGACTAAGATAAGCCAGTAATCGATCTTCAGCAGCACCGGTGGAAACATCTAGCTTCAACAAAGGCTTTAGCCTTTCATCGACTCGGCAAGCTCCCATCACCTGTAAATCCAGAGCCAAAAGCCACTGAACAACGTCGGTTTCTACTGATGTGCACGCGCCGCCGGACGAAACGGCATCGTACGAAATATTATCCTCCGATGACGACGAGTCGAATTCCTCCACGCGATTTGAATTTTCTGCCTCATCAATCTCCAGATTGTTCACAGATTGTTGTTTCTCTGAATGATGATCCATTTTAAATTTCAATTAATTAAGGTTAAATTTGTTCGAAAATAAGCTCGTAATCCAAAAAATTTGAAGGAGATTGAGAGAAAATAACGCAATCCACACGTCGAACAGCTGCAAATAGGAAACAAGAGGCGTTGAGTTCCTTTAAATAGGATCGATGGAAGGCCTAACGGATTTCAGATGTGGTAATGAAATGTGATTTAGGGCTGAACTGGAATCCGGCAATTATGGTTTTGCGTAGGGCCAAGCTGACTCTTATTGGGCCCATATTGCTTATTGTGGGACAGTGCGGGGCCTAAGGTCATCTCCAACCTTGCCCCCATCCCCGTAATGGGGAAAATTTTTGAGGGAATTTTGCTCCAATTTTTTCTCATTTTTTTTCCCAAAATGGGGAATGAATAGTGTTCCCTCAAATATGGGGTACACTATTCATCTCCCCCATTACTATTCATCAATTTTTTATTATTATTTTATTGTTTAATCTTTTAATTTATCTCTTTATATATACCTAATTATATTTATCTAATGTCTTTATAATATTAATATTATATCTTAACTTTGGTGTATAATTTTGATAAATTAATTTTCGTGCATTTATTATTTTTATGTAAAATTATAAGTTAATTTTATTATAAGTTAATTGTACAAAAAATATATTATTATCTCAAAAAATGAATGGTGCAAATATAAAATATTAGATGTTGTTAAAATTGAAAGGTGCGAATATAAAATATTATATGTTGCTAAAATTGAAAAGTGAAAATTGAAAATACATTAAATGAAAATACATTAAAATTGGAAATGCATGACAATTGAAAATATATTAAATTAAAATACATAAAAATTGAAACCACGGTAAATAGCATAATAACTTAGTAGGGACCTATGTCGTTTCCAGATACACCAAAATCATTATAGTATTTAACTCGACATAGAAGAATTAAGGACAAAGATGCTCATTTTGCACTTCGTAATGCATTAATAGATCATTTATATACTAGAGGAAGTTGAATATTTATCTAGTATTTCGAATGAATTTTATCGTTATGTAATATGTATTTAATTAATCTTGTATCACAATGATTTCACTTTTATTTGAATTATTAGTTAATCTATAATAATTGCTTACAAATTATATTATTTAAAATTTTATGAAATTGTTTTAATTATGAAAATTACAAATTAATAAAAATAAAAGATGGAATTTGTTTAATGGAAATTAAAAAATAAAATTGAAATGAAAGATAATAATATAATATAGAAGAGAGAGAAGAATATAAAAAAGTTTGGGGAAAAAAATGGGGGAATGGTTAGAGTAAGTTGTCCCCAAAATGGAGAAATCCCCATTTTGGGGACAAAAAATAGGGGCAAGGTTGGAGATGGCCTAAGGGGGTGATAATGAAAGCGTCATGTCAGATTTGCGATTAGACAAAAGCTGGCTTAATTAAGTAGTACGTCATGTATTAATTGGGAATCTAACAAATATCCCAAAAAAATACTAACTTACCAATCTCTATCCATTAATCATAAACTTACCAAAACTCGTCAAGCTTATATAAAAATTGAAAACTCAAAGAAACAAGTTTCTTTCTCTCCAAGAATCACACACAAAGATCTCTTTTCATATTTTTAAGCATGATTAGCAACATTATATGTAAGACGGAAGAAAAATTTCATGGATGAGGTAACAAATAAGGTGATGAAATACAAGAAAATAGATATAGAAGATTCCAAAAATTTAAGCAAAAAAGAACTTTTTTCAATGGGTATGGTTGAGATTCATAGAAAACATATAGATGAGTCAATATATAAAATTTGAGGAAGATTCGAGGTGATTTGGACTGATTTGGTATCAAAATTCGTAGTTAAAATCGAGTTCAAAAAATTCTTCAGCGACACATGTATCACGCATGTATCTCACACGCAGGTATACATGTGATACAAATATGATACATATGCGATACACAATGTGATACACCTATCATTTTTTTCATGTTCATCTTCTACTTCGAATTTTCAATTCAAATCACCTCAAAACTCCACCAAATAATCCCAAAACTGAGATTCAAACTCCTTAAGATGTACCCAATCTATTCTAATAATATCCACCAAAAGAAAGCAAAAAATTGACATTTTTTGTTACAAATAGCTATTTGGCTAATATTAGTAATATTTTATGAATTTGTCAATTTTTGTAATAAGCTACTTATAAATAGACATAGCTGGTATTTTTCCTTTTAATTATTCCCTCCGTTTCAATTTAGACGAGCTAATTTGACTCGGTACGGAATTTCAGAGAACAAAGTAATACTTTTGGTCTTAAAAGCTTTGTGGCGCCATAACATTTGTGTGGTTATAAAGTAAAAATTGCACGGGGCGCCCTATTTGGTCGCACCTAATTTTTGACTATATTTGAAACTTTCACCACTTTGTGGTATTTAAACAGTTTTAAGTTTTGTTCTAATGTGCAAAAACAAGAAAAATTTCAAAAAAATATGTTTATATTTACTTAGTTTAGTTTTAAAATTGTAGGTCTTTAATAAGTGTTGAGTAGTCTTTATATTTCTTTAATTTGCTATTTTACTTTTAGTTATATCCTATTATTTAGATAATAAATATTTTGGTTTATCTTTAGAAAAAAAAATTGTAAAAGAAAACAAAAACAAACAAACAAAAGCAAAAAAAGAAGAAGAAACGAGAATAACAAAAATAGAAAGTCAAAGTATGAAAGAAATTTAAGTGGTGCCCCTTTCCCTTAATTTTTGCTTCATGTCACGTGCTCTTTTCCTCATTTAAGCTTATTCAAAGATTCTTTTTCTTTAGTACCAATTGCTTTGTGACACCTAGCCTTCTACATAAACATATTTATTCCCTCTTATCCAAATTCACCTAGACACTCCCATTCACTACAAAGACACACATACACGACAGACGAAAAAGGGAAAAAAGATCTGAAAAAAATAGTAAAAAGAAAAGGGGCATCTCCTTTCTTCTAAAAAACAGAAGCAGCAGCTTCTTTCTTGAACACACACACTCACGAAGGAAGGCAGCGGTCAAAAAATATATCTCCATTTAACAAAATTCAGCCAAAAAAATCCCTCAATCCTTAATCTCTAAAGACCCAACAACTTTCCCCACCCCTCACCTCACTGGACGCCGCCAGGCACCACCACCCTCGACCAAAAATCTAACAAAACGGCCTCCTCAAGCTCACGATCCGAAACGCGAGACACCTAAAAACTAGCTGGAAATGCATCGAAAACACCACTAAAACGATCGCGTTTCTTCCTCAATGCAGCTTGTAATTGGGTTTAGGTCGTCGTTCGAGTTTTACGGCGAGGTTTCAAGGTTCCGTCTTTGGCGAGGTTTCCAATATGCATTCGTTGAGAGTTCTCGACGAGAATTTTCGATCCATGTCATGTCTTCCTTTTCATTGCCTTTGGATTATCACTTGGCTTGATGTATGTTGAATTGAAGTTCTCAGCCAATACAAGGTCTTTCTTTTCCTCTTTTAACATTTTTGCTTCTTATTTCCATGAAGTTTGCTGAAATTTTGTTCACGAGAGTTTTATTTAGATGTTATTCTTGTTATTTGTTATTATGTGTGGCAAGTGTGTTAACATTATAAATCTGTTTAAGAGTTTTTTTTATTTAGTATATTTGTTTAGCTTTATAAATCTGAAGTCCTATGTAGTAACAGATTTTTTTTTTATTTAGTTTTTATTTTGATCTAGAAAAGGGGAAACAACAAATTGAAATAATCTCAATATTAGTTTAAGAAGAATAATTCTTAATAATCGCTAGTATGCTTTAGGCGTGTATTAATAAATAAATTATCGTAGTTATGTGTACGTTCGCGTGACATAATTATGATTTCCAAAATAATTCAAGGTACGCGTTCGCGCGACTTTGGCCAAATAATCTTAATAATTAATAAAACGTGATTAATTGTGTACACGTACGCGTGACATGATTCTTGACGCGCCGAACGAAATGAGTACACGTACGCGTGACTCGTTTTAAGGTAATTCCATAATTACGAATAATCAAGCACTTAAAAGTAGTAAAGGGTAAAATGCCTGTAGGTTTAAAATACGTAATTAAATATTTAAATAAGCCAGGTATGATTAAAAGCGACCGTGCTAAAACTACGGAATCCGGGAGTGCCTCACACCTTCTCCCGGATAAACAGAATACCTTACCAGTCTTCTGTGTTCGCTGACCATAAATAGAGTCAATTTCCTCGATTTGGGATTTAAAATAAACTGGTGACTTGGGACACTATATAATTATCCCAAGTGGCGACTTTAAATTAAAAAAATAATCTCATTTCGAACAATGTCACTTTAATTGAAAAAATTCCCTATCCCCTTGGGGAAAAGGAGGTGTGACAATGCCCATTTTTTAAAATTCTTTAACCTATACCCTAATTTTGACAACTTCAAACGCCTCATCTTCTTCCTCCTCACCTATGCGCTCCTCTCTTCCTCCTCTTCTTTTCCGCTTCTTCTTCTTTCATGGCTAAATAGGCCTGCCATATTGAATGCACGAAGAAGAGGCAGGACTTTCTTCTTTTCCTCTTCTTCTTCCTCCTGACATATTGAATGGTTATTTCATGGCCAGATAGGCCTGCCCCTTCTACGTATATTCACATCAAAATGTTCAAAGAGTCCCACCTCGATCCCTTAAAGTCGTTAAGCACAAACAATATCTGTAAATGCTAATGTGTATTGGCTCTTTTGAGGACAACTGATGTCAGTAACCATATATTTATAGTGAAGTCCACGGTGATTACTCGAGAACTTGTACAAAGTAACAAGTGACAAGTGAAGCTACACAGCTAATACAGTATTTGTGCTTACATAGCACAATTTGTATAATACATCACGAATGCCGCAAAGCATGTCTCTCAGTAGTCATTGAACTGAAGTTTGCCCTTGCTATGAACTGAAGTTTGCCTGATTACCTTTGCAAGTCAGGCCAAACTTCAGGCAAAAATATCTGAAGTTTTGCTTTGATAAGGCTACACACTTCAGGCAAAAAATTCTGAAGTTCAAACTTCAGACATACACAATTGAACTGAAGTTTGCCCTTGCACTATGAACTGAAGTTTGCGTGATTGTCTTTGCAAGTCAGGCCAAACTTCAGGCAAAAATATCTGAAGTTTTGCTTTGAT